TCGTGGGGGGGATTAACAAGCTCTACCAAATATCCACACGACTCTTCGCGACCACCCAAACCCAGCTTCCCGCCCTATGACGTTGGGACACTTCACTTCGTGGCGTGCGGACGACCGTGGCTACTACACTGGCGTGGGGTACACACCCACAGAACTTGGTACACACCCACAGAACTAGGATTCGGACAGCGCGCGCGGGTGGAAATTTTGAAAAGTCGTGCAGGTGTTTTTCGAGGACCTACGGTGCGATTCGTGTGATTTTATGATGCGCGGTGCTAAAATTCTTAAAAACCCAAAGGTTTTTGGAGATTTCGGCGTGCGCGCGCGAAGAAAAAACGAATGTGTCCCGCATGGTATTATTTGACAGGGATGATGGCCCTGGCAGGTGCGCAACCGTTGTTGCAGAAGTTCGAAAAAAGTTGCTCGCAAAAGCCCGTTTGACAGAAATGATTAAAAAGTGTTGGGTTTCCTACGAATCCGCAAGAGCGCGCGGGATGAAATTTTGATTTTTTCTTTGTGAAAAACCATTGTTTTTTTTTTTTGATGTTTTTATGTTAAAATCGCTACGAAAACTAAGGTTTTGGAAGGATTTCGTCATGCGCGCGCGAATGTCCACTTTACCTTATTTTTTGCAAGGGATTCTTGAAGTTTGGATATGTTAGAACAAGAAATTTCATTTAATAGTGTTTTTTGCAAGGGAAAGCGGATTACAACAAAACAACCGGATCTGGATGACATCGTTTTACCTGAGGCTTCCTCACGAAAATGATGAAAACGTGGCTGCGGCCTAGGCGCGGCGGGGGGGGCGCGCACCAGGGGGCCCAACAATAATTATTCTTTAGAATTAATAATGTTCAACAACAACAACAACAACAACAACAACAACAACAACAACAACAACACCAAGAACAACTGCAACAACAATTGCAGCAATAACAACAAAAGCAGCAACAACAACAACAACAATAACCACAACAATAACCACAACAACAACAAAGCAAAGCACCCAAACAACTGCAAAGGTGAAGTGGCGGGTCGAGGAGTAGGAGGTCGGCGAATGTGAACGTTCATGCATTGGTATTCCGGAGGATTCCGAGGCGTGACAGAGGGCAGGGCACGGAGATGTGCAACGCAGTGTGTGTTTTACCACGGATCGTGGCCGCGTGACAGGGCTGAGAGCACGGCCATGAGCACCGCAATGCATTTTTCGACCAGGGATCGCGGCCGCATGAAAGGGGTGCGAGCACGGCAATGTGCACCGTAGTATGCTTGACCAGGGGTCGTGGCCGCGTGACAAACGTAAGAGCACGGCCATGTGCACCCTCGTGTTTGTTGCAAAGGACCGTGGCCGTCTGGACAAAAATCCAGCCTGCATTCCGTTCCCCCTCCCCTGGGGTCCAGAATGCCGTTTGAGGAGCGGGAGGTACGAGCTTATCAACGCACCCCTGGGGCCTCCAGAGCCTCCGACAAAACCCAAGAAGGCCCAGACAGAGCGCCAAGACAGTCGAAGAAAGCGTCGAGACGGCCCAGAGCAGCCCCACGACGACCCAAGATTATTTCAAGACTGCCCACAAGGCCCCCAAGACGGCTCAAAAGTGTTCCAAGAGGGCCGCCAAGAAGGCCCCAAGAGGCAACATTAGCCCCATTCCATAGAAAATGTATATGTTTCGCACACTTATCTTTTTTGTCTTGACAGCTTCTAGGACTGCCAAAGAGATCCCCAAGAGAATCGTCACAAGACGTCCGATGAGGCCCCCGAGAGGTCCCCAAGACGGCCCAAGAGGGCCCCGAGACGGCCTCAGGGGCCCCCAAGACGGACCAAGAGAGCCCCAAGAGAGAATCAAGAGAGTCCAAATATTCCGAGCCTTTCCCCCCAAGATGGCCCCAAGAGACCCCCAAAGACCCCCGAGGCACCCCGAGGCCCCAAGAGGCTTCCAAGACGCCCCCAAGAAGCCCCCAAGAGCCCCAAGAGGCCCCAAAAAACTTCCCAGATGCACCCGAGAGCCCTCCAAGAGGCCCCTGAGAGGCATCCCAAGAGACGCTCAGATTCATGCAAGAGGCTCCGGACCCACGGCCCAGGCACAGTGGCGGGTTGGGCCGAAGGCAAGCACAGAACTTGCACGATCGTTGCAAGCTCTGACTCCTCCTGGGGATCGGCGGCCACGGCGGGATGGCGTGAGCCAGTGGAATGAATTGTGGAGAGGTCTAAAGCGAAACGGAGATTCCGGGAAACCAGAGGCGAGAGTCTCCTCAGGTCTCCTCAGGCTTCCCGTCCCCCCTGTGGGGTATTTTGTTACCGCTCGTCGTAGAATCCTCCAGCCTGAACGCCACTGGCGAATAACAACAAAAACAAACTAACTGACTGACTAACTAACATGCGTACAGCGCATGCGGGGGAGGAAATGGGAGGGCGGGCGGGCGGCGCGCCCACTGGCGCTCCTCCGCCCTGCGCTCCCTGGCCTCGCTCACGTCCAGGGGTTCGGCCGCCTGTTCCACGGGAGCGGGGGGGAGGCGCACGCTTCATAGTTGCATGAACAAGCATCTGTATACATGTGCGCACGCATATTCATATGTGTACGTAGCTGTGTATGTATGTGATTACGTATACATTCATGTACATGTAAATACATGTGATCATACATGTGTATGCGTATGTGTGTATGTGCATGTATGTGTTTTTATGAGGTGTAAATGCAGATGCACATGTACATGCACATCTATATGTATACAAATGTATGTGTGCATGTGCATATGACTTACGCACATGTATACGTGAATACGTATATATGTATCTAAACGTGTGTACATGTATATGCATATGTATATGCATATGTGTATACAGTTGAATATGCCTTAGTGTATGTATTTGGTTGTGTATATGTGAATGTATGTGTAGAAGGATTTGTATCTGTATATGGATATGTCTGCGTCTGTGTCTATGAATATATATATATATATATGTGTCTGCGTATGTGTGCATTGATGTGCATATGTGTGCATGTATGCGTGTGTGTAGACGTATACGTATATGGCGATGTGTATGTAAGTGTATGCGTAAGCGTACATGAATATGGGTACAACTAGGAATATGTATACATATATATATATATATATATATATATATATATATTATTATTATCATACGCACCTCTCCGAGGGAGTAGAGCTCAGAGGCGATTACTGCGCACGCGTCCGCGATGTTTCTGGGCGTTTCGCTCGGGACATCCTCGAAATTCTGAAAATCGGTGGCACCCCTCACGCAGATCGCGACGTCAGGGTCCAAAAACACATCGGAAATTCAACAGTTTAACATAAAACCTTCAAAAACACATGGTAAGTTCAATAATTGTGACCCCGATTCTCAGTGAATGGCGGTTTCGCTTGAAAAATCCTTCCAAACTCGAGCCCCAGACCCCGCCTCGGAGCCTCCTGGGGGCCTCCTGGAACCTCCTGGGGCCTCCTGGGCCTTCTGAACCTTCTGGCACCCCAGACCCCGCCTCGGAGCCTCCTGGGGGGGTCCTGAAACCTCCTGGGGCCTCCTGGGGCCTCCTGCGGCCTCCTGGAGCCTCTTGGGGCCTCCTGAAGCCTCCTGGGGTCTCCTGGGGCCTCCTGAGGCCGCCTGGGGCCTCCTGGGCCTCCTGGGGCTTCAGAACTACATGCACACAGAGACACAAATCACGCCCAACACATCACACGCTAGACAAACATAACACACACACACACACACACACACACACAACACCTACAACACACAAAAAGCACGCACCACACGAAGCATACATCACAAACACACACACACACACACACACACACGCACGCACAACACTCACAATCCTGGGGCCTCCTGGAGCCTCTTCTGGTATCCAAGTCGGGCCTCCTAAGGCTTCCTGGGGGCCCTGGTACACACATCGCAAGGTGTGGCAACCCCACTTGCGCTCGAGTGCGACTTCGATGTTGCATGTCACTTCTGCTTCAAACGCCCCTTCAGTTTTTTTGTATGAGCCTGGGCACACACGTGCCACTTGTATGTGTATATACAAATATATATGTATGCAGAGGTGTGCATATGGATAGGTGTGGCTGTACACTATATGTACATGTATAGGTATTGTATATGTGTATGTGTATGAATATTTAAATATAACTATATATATGTAGATGTACATGCATATGTACATATACATATATATATATATGTATGTATATGTATAGGTATACGCATGTGCACCTACACCTCACAGTATGCATACGCGTACAAGTATCGGGCGTCGGACATCGGCCTGCATCGTGCGCCGCGCGGATGCCGCAAGGTGGGGGCGTAGCGCCCCACTGTTGCTAGCAAAAGTGGAACAAGTACAACCATGGTGAGGCAATGCATCACTAATATGACTGCATGACCTGTGCAAGAGGTAGTCACTGGTCGACCGCTCATCATGCATGAACTGCGCACGAGGCACTCACACGAGAACTTACAGCATGTGAACGTCAGGTACGCGTATACATATACGGTCGGACCTACAACCCTCGTCAAAAAAAAACTGAGGGATTCTGTTTTCGGTGATTGTATTGTCGGCGCTACTCCAATGCTGACGCTAGATATCTGACGCGGACGCAAGGGCTTCAAAAATCCGACGACTCCTCCGCAGCATTGAAGAACGCAGTTTCTAACAAGTGCCCGAGAAGATCGATCGTCGTGATTTCCAACTGCGTTTCTGTTTATTTTTGACGAGGCTTGTAGGACAGAAGGACACCCTTCAACACAAGGACACCCTTCAGGGACATGAGGCCCTCCGCCGACCAAACTGAAAAAAACATTCGATGGTGCCCTCCCCCAGGATTCACAACAGCATCCAGCAAACACGAATAACATCAGGGTACCCTCCCCGAACCGACCTCGATCTTAGGCATCGGTCTGACCGTAGATAGAAAGATAACGTATTTACGTACATCTACGAGTAGATGAGCGCGTAGCCATACAAAAGAATAGTGTGTAGTCATTGCATGGTGTATGTGTTCACATGTACACATATATATATGAGCGAATGCACAAAATGTTGAAGATAGTCGCGAACGCTGGTGTGCAGAAGTACACATACAAGTATGTGAACATGAAAACGTACACCGACAGATCTTGGACAGCCATTGCATATGCGTTCAGGAGTGTATTGGTTCAGTGTGCCTGTGTACATGCATGCGCGTGTGCAGATGCATGTGTACATGCATAAATGTGGGCATAAAGGTGTACGTAAGCATGATGTAACTGCATACATACGCCTGTGCGCGCCTATGCATGTATGTGTATGCATATACATGTACAGATCTGCATCGAAGGTCGATTCGAAACGGTACCTGTTCTGGCTCCTTCGACAGAAAGGCAAGGCCGAATCCTTCACAGTCTGTTAAATTGCCGAACTCCCCGCTCGACCCGCACGCCAAGCGCTGAGCCCCGCAATCTCGGACAAGAGAAAAATGGCGCGCCAGAGGCAATTAGGGCTGCGGAGCTCCACCGCCAGCGCGAAAACAAATCCGCCGCAGCCGCCGACGTGTCTGAAACCATTCCCCCCCCCCGCCGCAAGCGCGGATGTTGTCTCCGCACAATCAGCACGCAACAGGTGAGCGTTGCTTTCTTCATCCGGCGTTTCGACATGGAGCGAACAGCGGGAGGAGGGGGGGGGGTCTTGCTCTGGACCGCTGCTTAGCGCGGCTGTTTGCAACAGTGCGTCCCATGGGGGAGGGACCCCACCTGCTCGAAGCAGGCCCCAAAAAACAGCGAAGATCTACTCCCTGGGAGGGGGAGGGGGGCTTGGGAGGCCCGCGCCGATCGGCCAGTTAATGAATAAAACACGACCACCAGGCGAAGAATTTGTTTCCATTCGGCGTCGGCGGGTCTCGGACGCGGGTATGCTAAAGTGAAGGGGCCCTGGGACACACAAATAAAAACACAATTAAAAGTATTCCCCATATTTTCCAATATTTTCAGGGTTTCTGTCTTCCCCCCCCCACTTCCTATATTTTCCTATATATTCCTGGGGATCGACGATGAATTGTATCTGTGTGTTTTTCCCCCTCCTGGTAAAAGGCGGGCGGCGAGCAGCGCCGCGGCGGGTCGCAGGCGAGCCGCGGGCGGGTCGAAGCGGGGCCACGGGCGGGCCGCGCAGGGGCGACAGCGAGAACGACGAGGAGGAGGAGGAGGAGGAGGAGGAGGAGGAGGAGGAGGAGGGGGAGGGGAGGAAGGAGGAGGAGGAGGAGGAGGAGGGGAAGGAGGAGGAGGAGGAGGAGGAGGAGGAGGAGGAGGAGGACGAGGAGGAGGGGGAGGAGGAGAAGGAGGAGGAGGAGGAGGAGGAGGAGGTGGAATGCAGCCACGAACCCAGGGGCAATGCAAGGCCGCTCAGGCCCCTCGCTCCGATGGAGGGACAGGGTGAACCCGCGTGGGCCCGCGATGCGCTGGCTCCGCCGCCGTGCCTGCACGGCAAGAGCGAAGCAGGTCTGTGAGCTGTCCGGTGTGGTTTCTGCATTCTTCTGGGGGCCCCCCCCATCCAGGCGCGTCGGCCATCGCGCGCTCCAGGCAGCATCCAGGCGCGGCCGCATCTGAGGGCCATTCTTCTTCTGAGCTGGCCACATCCCAGGCGCGTCGGCCATCGCACATCGCCGGCAACCGCGCGAGCGCGAAGCATTGAAAGCCGCAACGCCTGTGGGGCCGCGGACGCGCGGCAAGGGCCGGCGTCGTCGGCGGTGCCGGGGGCAGCGCCCGAGCGAGAGCCGGGGCCCGAGCGCGTGGCAGCGTCGTGGCCTCCTCCGTCGGGGTCGCTGTGGGCGGGGGCGGCGCTGCGGGGCGGCGCCAGGCGGACGAGCGGCAGAGCCGCGGACCGCGCGGAGGGCGCGGTGGCCTGCCGCGGGGGGCGGCCAGGTGGTGACTGCCTACCAGACCACCCCAACCCAACCCGAAGACCCGAACTTCGGCTTGGGGGGGGGACGGGCTTCACATGTGTTTTCTCAACCTTCCCCGACCCCCTCCCCCCACACTGGAAACGGAGGGCAAATCGGAGCCTTCGGGCTGGGTTGGGGGGGTTGGGTGGTGAGGTGGTCAGGCGAGGCACCTCGCCCCGCGGGCCCGCGCGGGGGGGCCGGCAAGGAGCGTCGAAGGGCCCCCGGCACGCCAGCGAGGCACAGCGTCCGACGTCGGCGAGAGAGGTCGTCGCGAGAGAGCAGCAGCCTCGGGGTCGGCTGCAAAAGCGGGGGGGGGGGGCTCGGGAACGGGGCCTCGGACGCCGCGCCCCGGCCCAGGGCGGCGCCCGTGGCGAGGGCGTCGTCGGCGGCGGCGGCGGCGGGCGGCGACGCGAGCAACCGCAGTAAGCAATGAAGAACCCCCCTCGGGGTGATCGTTAGCACCGCACCAAGCTTAAATGATGATTGGGGGCGGTGTTCGCGGAGCGATAGCGCTAGCACCGCGCAAAAGAAAGGATATTAAATAATTCCCGCGCCTTGGCTCGGGCGGTATCCCAATGGGAATCTGTAGGAATCCGAGATATTCCTGTTCCCCTCCGCGAGGCGTTGCTTCAGAACCACACGGAGGCCAGATTGCGAGAATCTTTCAGGCGGTTTCCTTGTTTCGGCGGGCAGACTCGTCTGCGTTCAAAGCAGGTTGCGAGGTGCCAGGGTAACGCTTCCAGGGTGCTGGAGCGTTATACTTTCGCCGGTGAGGGGGGGGTGCTTTCTTACTTGCCTCTCCGGGTTAACTACCGACCCAGGGAGGGAAGGGCGTCAGGGCGGTCGTCGTGGGGGCGGTGTCGTGGTCGACGACTAGGTGGGGGCGTCGGCCAAAGGAAGGGACGGCGTCGGGAGCAGCGGCGGTGCCGAGGGGCAGGCTGCAAGGGAAGCCATTGGGCGAGCGCCACTGCCCGAAGAGCGCGCAGGGGCGCGATCGCCGGAATGGGGCGGCCGCGGCGTCGGGAGCGCCGGCGGGTTGAGAAAGCTGGCCTGGGGAGGGAGCGACGTCGAGAGCGTCGTCGGGGGTGGCGTCGTGCGCGTCGAGAGCCTGTGGGGTGAGAGACTGCGGGAGCCAGCCCAGGGAGGGAACGGCGTCGGAACCGTAGTCGGGAGCGGCGTCGTCGGAGGAGGTCCAGTCGTCGGCAGGGTCGTAGAGATGGGCGTGGGACTGTGCGTCGGGCGGGGGAAGGAGTTGGGCGCTGAGCTGGGCGTCGGGCTGAGCGTCGCTGGGCTCAGTGTCGGACTCGGCGTCGGGGGAAGCATCGGGCACGGCGTCGGGGTCGGCGTCGAGAGCGGCGTCGGCCAGGGAGCAAGGCTGGGCGGCGGAGGCGCTGGCGACGGAAACAGCATCGGGCACCATGATGGCGCAGGGCACGGCAACGGGAGCAGCGTCGGGAGCAGCGTCGCACTGGCGGTGCCCGCACCCAGGACGGAAACTACAGCGGAGCCTCAGAGCCGACGGCTCCCCAAAAGGACGCGGAGACCCCAGTCCCCAAGGGAGAGGCGCACGCGCCCCCAGAGGCGCCCGACGGGGGGGGTGGGGGCGCCAGCGGCCCCGGGACCCGGGGGCGGGCCGGACGGCCCGCAGGGGGGGCCGCCGGGGGGAACGGAGGCCCCCGCGCCGCAGCCAGGGCCAGCGGGGCCAGGGGGCGGGAGAGCCTGGGCGGCGACCGTTCCTCCTCCTCCTCCTCCTCCTCCTCCTCCTCCTCCTCCTCCCTCCTCTCCTCCTCCTCCTCCTCCTCCTCCTCCTCCTCCTCCTCCTCCTCCACCTCCACCTCCACCTCCTCCACCTCCACCTCCTCCACCTCCACCTCCTCCTCCCCTCCTCCTCCTCCTCCTCCTCCTCCTCCTCCTCCTCCTCCTCCTCCTCCTCCTCCTCCTCCTCCTCCTGCTGGCACAGGCAGCGCGGGAGCGGGGGCCTGGGGACCAGGGGCAGGGCCAGCCCAAGAGGACCCAAGGCGGCGTGAGCGCTTGCGGCCGGCTCCTGTACAGGGGTAGAGTCGCCGAAGTGGCGCACTGGTGGAGCGAGCCCACCGAAGGTCTAAGAGCGAAGCGGCAGCAGCGGGCGGCGGGGGCCGTGCGGTGAACGCGCTCGACCTCGTCGTGCCACCTCGCGCGGACCACGCCCCGACAGGCGCTTGCGTCTGCTCGGCCAGCCAGGCACGAGGCCGCCTTGTGGGCCGGCTGGCTGCCCAGCGGGGAGCAGGGCGACCCAGCGCCGGATGAACCACTCCCCGCTCCGATGTCTGCACACCTCGGCTGCCCAGCTCTGCTACGCAGGCCCTCCGCGGAGGCCTGCGCAGGGGCGTGGCATGCTGCAATTCCCCCTGGCAGCACGGTGCTCGTCCCCAGCGGTTCCGCCCCCCCTTTGTGCGTGCCAAGGGCCAAGGTTTGGGGAGGCCCTCCCCGACCAAGACAAAGCGGGGTGGCAGGCAGGGGGTGCTGCAAACCCGCCGCAGTCCGACGCTCCGATGTGGGGTGGAGGGACAGGGGATCGCTGGAAGCGTCCATGGCCCAAGGTGGCCCCAGACTTTTGCTCCACGCTGGAGCCCCCAGGGCCCTCGGGGCCCTCGGGCCTCGTGACACTGCCCTGGAAGCCGTGGGGAGGCCTCATGGGAAACCCTGGGGACGCCCTGGGTCACGGACACCTGGAGCAACAAAGGCAGACTGGAGCACAAATGCAAAAGGAGACAACGTGCGACAAAGAGCGTGGCGTTTAAGGACGAGGCGCACACAAACGGTGCTGATGCAGCCCGGTAGTAGAGGCGTACCGACTCAGATGCGGGAAAGACCGGGCTGGGCGGGTACGACGGGTGGCAAGTCAGAGCCGCGAGCCCATCGTGCGACGCTGCTCAAGCTCTCGAAGAGCAGCAGCACAGCGGACAAGAGACGGAGAGCAGAGGACAAGGGCGTGGGCCAAGCGTCGACGCCGACCAAATGCTGTACATGTTTTTGGCCTACAAAATATCGGATATTTGGGCTGGGCTGAGCAGACCCGGGCGCAAGGGCGACGGCGCCCGCGCCCGGCAGGCCAGACCTACCCCCTGTCCACCACACGGGCCTCGCCACGTGGAGGTGGTCCTGCAACGATGCGTGCCTCCTGCAGCCGAGCGCTGCTTCCTGCCCGCGAGGGGCAACACCAGGCTAGCGGCGCGAGAGCCACCGCGAGGCACGGCCCCCCTGTGAGAGAGCAACGCCAGGCGGGGGAAGAAAGCCGCAGGCGCGAGCTGGCCGTGCTGAGCAAGAAGTGCGCAGATCGAGTCCCGCGGCGACTGGCCTCACGCCGGCCGCCCGCCGGGCAAGACGCAGGACGTGCCCAGGGCTTACGCCAGGGCCGTCGGGACGAGCCGACGAGCCGCGGGTGTGACTGGGCGCCGATCTCGCAAGACGCGCCCCAAGAGACCCGCAGCCAGGTGGCCCCGCACGGGCACCTCGACCCCAAGGCTAACCAGATACACCTGGCCAGGGGGCGCGTCACATCCACACACGCACACACAAACACACACACACACACAGCACGCGCACGCGCACGCGCACGCGCACGCGCACGCGCACGCGCACGCGCACGCGCGCGCGCGCACGCACGCACGCACGCACGCACGCACGCACGCACGCACGCACGCACACACAAACACACACACACACACACACACACAGCCACACACACACACACACACACACACACGGCCACACGCACAGCCCTCCCCCCACCTCCAAAAGGACGCCCCCGATCCTCCCTGTCGCCCTCCAGCGGCCGCCCGCGGCGCCACCGCTCCCCGCAGGGAGCCCCCCGGGCTCGCCAGGAGTGGGTGTCGCCGCCGCCGCGCCACGGCCGCTCTCGGCACGCGGCCCGTCGCCGCGGCCGTCGCTGCCGCCGCCGCCGCCGCCGCTGTCGTCGGCGTGGTCGCCGCCGCCGCCGCCCTACCCTGGCCGGCCGAGCGGGCGCGCACGCGCGGGACGGCCTGCTGCAGGGCGCGCTGCACGAAGGTCCTGTCGCCCGCCAGCGCCTGCTGCGCCTTCCCGCGCTTGTCGGACGGCGTCAGCGCCAGGTGCTGCGCGCGCGCGGCCGCTCGGCCCGCGGCGGCGGCGTCGCTGCGCGCGCGCGCCGCGCGAGGCGCGCGATGCGCGCGGCGCTGGCGCTCGCGGGCGGGCGGTCACTCGGCTCGCGACGGCGGGCTGCCGGGGCCTACGCAGCCGCGCTCGAAGGAAGGCCGGGGAGGCCTGACCGGGCCGGGCCAGCGGCGGCACGCGCGTCGCCCCGCGGCCGCTGCCGTGGCTGCCGCCGCGCCGCCATGCAGACGACGTGCTGTGCGCAGATCCGCCACCTCGCAGCGGGACCTTGACATAGGTCGGGCGTGTCCCCCTCCAAGCGGATTTTGGACGAAAAATAAACATAGTCAAAAAAAACAAACAAACAAACAAACAAACAAAAAATGTCGGAAATCGTGAAAAATCGTCCCCTGACTTTTTTCCTATGTTTGAATACTCCTCATGTAGAGGGACAGGCCCGACTCAAACCCAGACCCCTCTCGCCGTGAAAAAGCACGACGGTAATGTGTCTTGTTATGCTCTGCCGCTGGGGACCCCCGCCAGACCCCAGGACCGTCAAAGAGAGCGACTCAAGAAGAAAGGCCGGTTCAGGGGGAATAGGTAGAGTTCTCTGAGGGTCCACGCTGTGCAAAAGTCATGGCGCCGCGGGCATGGGTAGGGGGCCACATGCGAACCCTAGTTGTGCGAAAATCATGACGCCGCGGGCATGGGGAGGCTGATCTGCTTGGCCGTGCTCTTGTGGCCGAGCTCCCTGTTCCTCTGGCGGGCTATGCAAGGCATAGATGGATCCCAGTTCTGGTGGATAGCTCGCCTGGGCTCCTCCTGTCGCAGCCAGAGGGAGAGAACGGGGACGGCGAGAACGGGAAGGGTCGTCGTCGTCCTCCTCCTCCTCCTCCTCCTCCTCCTCCTCCTCCTCCCCCTCCTCCCCCTCCTCCCCCTCCTCCCCCTCCTCCTCCTCCTCCTCCTCCTCCTCCTCCACCTCCTCCTCCTTCTCCTCCACCTCCTCCTCCTCCTCCTCCTCCTCCTCCTCCTCCTCCTCTCCGGTTCCATGTGCAAAGCAGGCCGAGTGGAGTCCAAGAGTCTCGCTTTGAGGTATGTCTGGCTCTCTCTCTCTCTCTCTCTCTCTCCCTCTCTGCCCTCTGTTGCCGCCGCCTCCCTGTCCCTCGTTCTCCAGACCGCACCTTTGTTTTTTGAAACGAGGGTGTCGTCCTTCGTCTTCATCAGGGGGAGGAGGAGGAGGATGGCCCTGGAAAACCAACTAAACCAAAGGAAACAAAGCAAGCTAAAGTGCTGGCGGCAGACACTATAAGACAAACATTGGGAACACAACAACGAAGAAACGGGAAACCGTCCGAAGGGAAACGTCCGAAGGGAAACGCCGCATTCTCTGTGGAAGCTTACATGTGCTTGTTGGGCTTCTTCTCAGGGCGTTCCCAAAGTTGTCCGCCACCAGCGCTTTGAAGGTGTTTGTATGAGAGTGTTCCCAAAGTTGTGTTTGTCCCTCGTCTTCGGGCGTTCCTCCTCATCTTCGTCCTAATCCTCCCTTGTCCCCCTTCAGGAGGGCAAGGGAGGAAGGGGGATGAGGAGAAGGAGGTAGGAGGCTCATTCTCCTGCCTCTGCGATGGTGATGACGAAGCATCGCCCGAGGCTGGAGAAGCACATCGCCATCGCAGAGGTAGGAGGATGAGCCTCCTACCTCCTCCTCCTCCTCCTCCCCCTTCGCCTCCTCCTCCCTCCTCCCTTGTCCTCCTGAAAGGGGGACGAGAGAAGAAGATGAAGATGAAGACAAGGGAGGAAAGCCCGAAGACGAGGGAGAAAAACTGAACTTTGGGAACACCCTCAGCAATGATGACCTCCAAGCGCCGACAGGCCCCAGCATGCCCGCACGGCTCGTCAGCGCAGTCACGAGCGCTCGCGCAGCGCGCTCTCTCCCGAAGCCCGTGCGGGTTCTTGCACGTGCTCGCCTCGCTCCTGGCTCACGCTGGGGCAGCATGCCGGGCCGCATCGGCATCGCGGACGAACGGCACGGGGGGGCCGACTCGGGGTGGGAAGCATGTGCTGTCTTCGGGCTGTCTTGAGGCGCCCACCTATCGCGTGTGTCTGTTGTAGCGGAGATCGCTCGAGATTGCACGGCCGACGCAGGTGGGAAACATCAATCTGGATTCGGCGATACATCGCCAACACATCCACGCTGGGCCCCCAATAACGAATCCGCGCGCTCCTGTGCGGGGCGTGGTACAGTCAAGACTGATAGCAAGGATGCGCGATGAGGATGCAAGGGCCGTGGAAGTCCATGGCGAAGCTCTTCGAGAGGGGCTGGCCATCGAAAGTGATTGAGGATGGACCGAAGAGGCGAGGATGCAAGGGAACCCTTCGGAAGGTTACCCTTCCCAGACATGCGACGTCCTAAGTTTGTTTAATACGCGGTCCTGCGAAATCTCGACCCTTTTCCCAGGACCAGCTTTTCGTCCTGAGCCGTTGTTTGACTTTCCTGGGGCCCAGCGAGGGCCCCCAGAGCCCGAACACGGCCGAAAATCTGCGTCCAGATTTTTTCGGGACGCGAGCATGTCTGGGTTACCATCGATTTCGACTGCACCTCCTCGCTGGAGGCGGCTCCCCTGGTGGTGGTGGTAACGCTTCTCCTCTCCCCGGCTGCATCGGGCCCAGGCCGGCGATCCATGGGCAATCGGGGGTCGATGCAGCCCCCCTTGAGCCTATCCCCCCCGCACGTTGGTCGGACCCCACAAAAACAGAGCGCGCGCGCGCGCTCCGCGCGCGCGGGGGACGCCCCCTCCCCCCACCGCTTTCCACGGCGCCGGGCGGCGAGCGCGGGCGCGGAACGCGGGCGGGGGGCGGGGGAGGAGCCTAGCTGCTCTGATACGCACGTTTTGAAACGTGACACGTGCCGTGTTCAAAAACGTCCGTGTTCAAAACGTGCGCGTTCAGTCTACGTGTGGAGCTCCGTATCAACACGCTACGTGTTGCGCGTGGCGTATCGGGGCAGCTAAGGGGAGGGGGAGAGGGGAGCGGGAGGAGGGAGGAGGAGGGGGGAAGGGAGGAGAGGGAGGGGGTGGGGGCAAACTAGGTGCGCTCGCGTCATATCTGACATCCTACCCCTCCCTCCCATCCCTTACCATGGCGTAGATCCCCTCTCTACTCGCACAGTCGGATGTTGAGCAGGGCAATGATCCCGACAGGGTACGTGATGCAGTGTAAAGCACGGCATGGCATGAAGCAGAAGAGCACCGCAAAGCGTAGTATGTCACAGCATGGCGTGGCGTGGCGTAGTGAAGAATTGCGTCACAAAGCTTTGCAACGCAAAGCATGGCATCGCACAGCGGCCCCGAACATAACATTGCATAGCATGGCGTTGAAGGTCAAAGCGTAGCATGGCATAGCATGACGTGGCACTTACGCACTGGATATGACAGCTGCAGCTGAAGGCATGGCATCGCGCAGCGGAACGCAACCTAGCATTGCATTGCATGCCGTGGCATGGCGCTGCAGCGGGAGCACGATTCGGAACGAGCGGAAGCGCGGGAATGAGGCCAGCGCTGCAGCGGGAGCACAATTCGGAACGAGCGAAAGCACGGAAATGAGGCCAGCGCTGCAGCGGGAGCACGATTCGGAACGAGCGGAAGCCCGAAAATGAAGCCCGCGCCTCAGCGAGAGCATCATCTTGAAAAAAACCCTAGCGAAAACCCAACTCCGGGAAATCCTGTGTGTAAATTATGCTAACGGAGTTCCCCACATAAAGAGATTAACGGTTTCGTGGGACCCATTTTCTTGATGCCCTCCTCGCTTTGGCTGGGCCCCGCTGGAAATGGGGAGGGCTACGAATCCTGGCGAAGAGTAATGCTTTCCGCGACCCTCCTCGTTCAAGCGCGGCCTCTCTGGAGGAGTGGAGGGGGGACACGAAACTGTGTAAACAGCATGTTTTCCGATACCCTCCAGGAAGAGGAGGAGGAGGAGGAGGAGGAGGAGGAGGAGGAGGAGGAGGAGAAGGAAGAGGATAAGATAGATGATGGTGAAGAGCAGCAGCAGGAACCGCAGCAGGAGCAGCAGCGGGAGGTTGGTTTGAGTGGTCTCATTTTCCTCGTGAGGTCCGATTCGTGAGGTTGGTCTGAGTGGTTTCATTTTCCTCGTCCAGTCGAGGTTATACAAGAGGGTGGGCGACACGAGTTCGCTAGACGAAAGCACTAGCCGAGGTATCTGGTAACTACAATTCGAACGCAGACACTGATAGGCCAAGTGCGGGTTTCCGATACCCTCCTCGCTCAGGCGGAGCCTCCCTGGAGAGGTGGGAAGGGCATGTAAATACACTGGTATGCCGATACCCTCCTCGCTCAGGCGGGGCCTCCCTGGAGGGGTGGGAGGAGCACGAAACCGTGTAAGTACACTGGTATGCCGATACCCTCCTCGCTCAGGCGGGGCCTCCCTGGAGAGGCGGGAGGGGCACGAAACCTGGTACATAGTATGGTATGCCGATACCCTCCTCGCTCAAGCGGGGCCTCCCTGGAGGGGCGGGAGGGGCACGAAACCTGGTAAATAGTATGGTATGCCGATGCCCTCCTCGTTCAGGCGGGGCCTCCCTGGAGCAGCGGGAGGAGCGCGAAACCTGGTAAATAGTATGGTATGCCGATACCCTCCTCGTTCAGGCGGGGCCTCCCTGGAGGGGCGGGAGGGGCACGAAACCGTGTAAATAGTATGATATGCCGATACCCTCCTCGCTCAGGCGGGGCCTCCCTGGAGGGGTGGGAGGAGCACGACACCTGGTAAATAGTATGGTATGCCGATACCCTCCTCGCTCAGGCGGGGCGTCCCTGGAGGGGCGGGAGGGGCACGAAACCTGGTAAATAGTATGTATGCCGATACCCTCCTCGCTCAGGCGGGGCCTCCCTGGAGGGGCGGGAGGGCCACGAAAACCTGGTAAATAGTATGGTATGCCGATACCCTCCTCGCTCAGGCGGGGCCTCCCTGGAGGGGCGGGAGGGGCATGAAACG